GAGTCTTTTTAAAGGGGGAGGCTTCTGCTTCCTACAGAAGGCGGGAAGATGTATTTTTTTTAAAGTTGGGGGGGAGTGGGAGAATGGGACTGTTAAAACCTGTCCTCTTTAAGAGATCAAAGGGGAAGCCTGCTGTGTTGGCCAAACAGCGGAGAAAAGTCCGCTTCTCTGGACTTCAAAGACCAAGGTGCTTATCAACTCAGTTCCCTTTTCTCAGGAGCTTGAGAAGTCCATGAGACCCTGTTGGTGAGGGGGCGGGGCTATCTGAACCTTAACAATCACTAGTAGGCCACAAAGTGAATTATGGTGATCAGAAAGTGCAAGGGAACTGTTCTGCAATGTATGTAGAATTCCTAACATGCCTTATAGAATTTGCCAATATGTTCAGTTAATAAAGATATTAGAGCAGAACAAATATTCTGTTTTTTGCTTTTATAATTGAGGAATAGTTTCAGGAGTGTAGAATTTATCCATCAACTAAACAAAGTGTTGCTATGAATCACTGTGTTAATCGCTGTGGCTGTATCACATGACTGCCAAAAAAAAAAAGAAAAAGGAAAAAAAAAAAAAGAAAGGCTTGAGCACACGAATGCCCTTAGCTTCACCTTTCAGTCAAAATAGGCCCATCTGATAGGCTCAGGCACTGGGTCATTTGATTTTGACCTATGAAGACAGTAATTTTTCCTGTTCTTACAGTGTTTTTGTTTTTAGAATATGGACTTGGGGCCTTTTTGAAAAGTGTGAATTCACCTTTCTTTCTGTTTCTGATGTTCTTGTATAAGCACACGAATGCCCTTAGCTTCACCTTTCAGTCAAAATAGGCCCATCTGATAGGCTCAGGCACTGGGTCATTTGATTTTGACCTATGAAGACAGTAATTTTTCCTGTTCTTACAGTGTTTTTGTTTTTAGAATATGGACTTGGGGCCTTTTTGAAAAGTGTGAATTCACCTTTCTTTCTGTTTCTGATGTTCTTGTATAGCTTTGAGCTTTGGCAGAGACTGAAAGTAGAGAAAGTTTAAGAGAAACTATCTTTTTTGTAGTACTGGAGATTAAACCTAGGGCCGCCCACATGCTAGGTAAGCACTCTACCACTGAGCTATATCCCCAGTTCTCTTAATTACAAAAGTCTCACAAAGCTGCCCAAGGAAGCCTTGAACTAATTATAACTCTGGCTAGCCTTTAATGTTTTTTTCTAGATCTTTGTGACTTAAAAATCCTTGCTAAATATTTATTAAATTACATTTTCTTGTGGGTATATGTGCATTTGAGTATGTGTGTATGGTATTTACCTATGTGTGTGCACTTCCATGTGGAGGCATGAGGATGACACTGGGTAGGTATCTTGCTTTATCACTCTCTGCCTTATTTCCTCAAAACAGGGTCTTTGAAGCTGGAGCTAGACTGGTGGTCCGCAAGCCCTAGCCATCTCCTGTCTCTGCCCCACCCCCAGCACTGGGGTTATGAGGGCACGCAGGTACATCTGGTTCTTTGCATGAGTGCTCATCACTTTAGCTCAGATTTTCAAGCTGGTGCATCAAGTACCTTTAACCACTGAACTCCGCTCCTAGCTTTCAACTTCTGATCCTCCTACCTTGGCTTCTCCATGAGCTGGAATTAGGAGTCTATGCTACTAGGCCTGGCAACAATTTTTCATTTTTCAAGTTTATATGTATGTGTGTGTCTGTGTGAGTACCCGTGGAGGCCAGAAGAAGCATCGGAGGCTGAGGAACTGGAGTTACAGGTGGTTGTGAGTCACCCAGTGTGGTGCTGGGACTTGAACCCAGGTTCTCTGGAAGAACACCAAATGTTCTTAACTGCTGAGCCATCTCTCCAGCCCCCAACAGAACACATTTTATATGCATGTGCTTAAAAATAGAATATCCTCAGCACCAACAAACAAAATCAAAATTATTAAAAATGTAACAAAAATAAGAAGAAATAAAATATTGACCCACCTTTTGTAGATACTTTGCTTTCTCCTCAGATTCCTGAATCTGTAGGGCTTTAGCAAAGACACTTGTTTCTTCTAGAGGAAATAAATCAAATTTGAAATACCCTTACAATTTTTATAATAATATTGCTATGAAATTGAATAAGGGTTAATAGAATAGAAAGGGACACACAAATACATAGTATTGAAGATTTATGACCAGATTCATAAATAACTGGAGACTGAATTAATTAGCGATGGCTGGAGGAAATCTCTAATCTCTTTAGATGAGAGTTAAGTGGGAGTGGCGACAAGTAAAGGTCTCTACAGAGAACATGTCTGTAGGAGCAGAGATTCTAATCTCTACACTTCTATTCGACATGTTACAGAAATTTAGTTATGATCCTCTGGATAAGTGTGTGTCCCAGAGCAAGCTGTTTTAGGCATGCAGCTGAGAAAGCTATACCTCTGTGTAAAGTTGTAGACTTGTCTTTGTTACTGATTTTCTGAATAAACTAGCATCTAGCTACTGAAGGGTATTAAACTTGGTACTTACTGTTATGATCAAGGGGAAGGGGCTGGGCAGAACTTTTCTCTAAGAAATACGAAAGGAAAGTAAGTCATTTGCAAAGACCACAGCATCAAAGGAATTTGAATTTTCCATATCTACTAATACCATATAAGAGCACTTTAACACAACCCAGGCCTAAGGGCTCCTCAGTCAGCAAACTTGGTTCCTAAAGCTGACTTGGCTTGACTTTAGGGCTTTAGTTTGAACTCACTAAGGTAAGTACTACCTTAGATTAATCCACACAGTTTGCCAAGTAGAATCCACAATTTAAGTGACACTCAGGATGTATTTTTACATGTCACAAGGATTCTTTTAGGGTGGAAGAACTGCTGGAAAGTTTCAGGAACTATACATATATGTGTACCTGTTACTATTTGTATATACCTTGCAGATTCCCATTTTAGAATTAGGTTGGGTAGTTTCTCCTGGTAACTGGAGAAATTCCCTCCAGAAGCAGGTGCTTCACTTACCTGACACAAGACTCTTAGAGGTCCCCGCCACTGGCAGACGCTGACTGCTGCCTCTTGTCAGTACAAGCTGAGATTCGATAGGGGGATACATGGATGCCCGGAGCCAGAACTGCTTAGCCAAGTTGGCATCCTGCTCTGAGCAGCCAGAGAACACCAGTAATCCGGGCAAGCAAATTTCAGGGGATTCCCTTTTGAAGCTTGGATCGGCACTGGGCCCCGTTTCCATGGTGACTCAGGACGCGTCCCTTAGCTCCCCCCCCCCCCAGGAGAACCGTCAAGTTAACAGTCACCGCAGGAAAGCCTTCATTTTCCGCAGGCGTCGTTCCTCCAGCTTCTGCTGAGATCACAGGCTTCACCGTCAGTCGCGCTTGGCGTCAAAGCCTCAGCTTTGTGGTGTCCTGTCCTGGAGTCAGCGGAGGGGCACTTTAGCCTTTAAGATCCCAAGTCAGCGTCCCTTTCTCCCCGCAAATAGCTGAATAAAGTAACATTTAAAGAGCCCCCCCCCCCCCCCCCCCAAAAAAACGCTTCTGGACAAGCTTGCCAAGGGTCAAATCAGCATCCCAAACCGTGGAAGTTCAGTGTCAGCACTGGAAGATTCATCAGGGGATTAAAGTCCTAGTCCACAGCAGGGGGGAGAAGTACCCATGGATATAGTTTTTGTGACCTTTCTTTCCAAATCTTATTCCAAATCTTAGGAAACAAGTTAGATTTCAATTGTAACTACATTTACTGATCATGCCCACCCAAAGTTGCCTAGAGTGCAGCCGTTATTACCTTATACCCCCCTAAGTGGACTGAGTTCCCCCAATGAAAAATTATGAAAACATTTAATATGCTCTATAAAAGGGGCTACCAAGTTGTGTGAAAGCTTTCCCTGGAGATTTTTGTCAATTTAGGAACAATTTAACCCTTTCAGTGATTGGCCAGTTAATCAGTTCAGGGATTGGCAAGAATTCAGATGGACATCCTAAAGCCAATTTTGGAAATAGACAATATCCATAACTGACGTCTTCATGGTGCTTTATTCTTCAGATTGTAATTAACAACATAGTGTCAGAGAAAGTCCAAAGATTGATAATTACAAGTCAGAAATACTCAGACCTGTCAGATAAGGGAAAAACCTATTTCCCAGTATTTCTAAAGAAGAAATCATTGGAAAAAAAAAACACATATTGTACACATCGCCTACTTAGCAGCCAAGTGCTAGTTTCCCCTTTGCCTACACTTCTAATAGGTAATAGATGATATCAGCATCTTCCCGTTGCACAGGCAGCTCAGTCGGACGAATCTCAGTCTTTTTACCTGGCCGTGTGGTTAGTGATTGGTACTACCATCAATCAGCTAACTACACTGCCTAGTAACTAGACTCAGGCTGCAGGCTCAAACTGGTGTTCTCAGACGTTGGTTGTGACAGGCAAATCACTGGCTAAACTGTGGGTGACTTTGGTCGCTGGCTTGAATGTCCCACTCAATAAAGTAAGGGGGACACAGTGAATTTATGTGGGGGGTCTCCTCCAAACAACAACAAACTCAAAGCCAGTCAACACTGACTTCGCTTTCTTTGCATGACAGAATCTTCTTGCGTTGACTTCTAGACATGTCTAAGGACTGAACCGGCCCTTACAGAAAGGAGCCCGCGGGTCTGAAGGCGACTCGCACTTTGACACCCTCCGGGCTGCCACTTGCTGACGCATCCTTCTCCGGCTTCAGCTTTTGGCTCTTGGACTCCGCCCGGCTGCCGCAGCCGCTTCTCCTTCCGCGCGGCTGCGGGTGATGCTGTGCCTTGTTTTGATGGCAGTGGAGTTAGTGATTGTCAGCACCGCAGTACAATCAGCTAATTACACTGCCTACAAACCGAGCACCGGGCGCCCGCTGCTACCGCAGGCGAAGGTCCGCAGTGCCGACTTGGTACCCGGAGGCACGGCTCGCATCCCTGGACTCCGTGGGTGATGCAGCGAGGGCGCCCGGGGCTCACGGGGACCCTCCCGCGGGGTGGCTGCGCAGGCCCCGCGTCCCCAGGTGACCCGGGCTCCCTTTCCCAGCTATCGCCCTCTGCCCCCGGGACCCTCCCTCGCAGTCCGGCTCCCCTGGGTTCCCCGGCCGGATTCCTGCTTCCCTCCCGCCGGGTCTGACCCGCCTCGGACAACTTCTCTTCTGTCGCTAGCCCCAACTCAGGAGCCGGCTCTCTCCACCCCGTCGCCCCGCAGCTCCTACTGGCCGAATGACCGTGGCCGGGCGACCAACCGCCCTTGGAACCGGGTGGCCGAGGGGGCGGGGCGGGCGCCGGTGGGGGAGGGGCGGGCAGAAGAAGCTGCCAGAAGGGGCAGTGGGCGGGCCCCTGCGGGGCCTCCTGGGAAGAGGCCTGGGGGATGGGGGTACGGATGCTTGAAAAGTTTCTGTGCCTGGGGGAGCAGAAGGGGCAAAGACCTCCATCTTTCCTCCGCTATTGCCCAAGGAACCCCCAAGCCCACTCAAAGTTTCTTCAGATGGCCTCCCAGGTACCTGAGGCTTTCACACCCGCAGGACAGGACCTTATCTCTTACAGGGCCCTACATGGGGGCAGGGGTGAATCTTCAAGTCAAATAGTGAACCGGTCGCCTTAATAGGTCAAAGTGTGGCCCTTTTAAGATCAAAGTCACAGTTCTGTGCTTGCAAGATGAGCCTTGAGGAAAACTATTTCTACTTCATATTCTGTTTAAATGCCTGTTAATACATTGAGTACCCTCTGAGGACATTTGTTCGGTCCATACAGGGATTCTAGGTGGTAACACACATTGTTTACCATTCCAGACAGTATAAAATCACCAAACCGATAGATTTTACTAATAAAAATAGATGGGGGGAGGGGGGTTGTCAATGAAAGTTGCTGGGCCAGACAACAATCATGGAGGAGGTGAGATCTGAGTAGGTCCTTGAAGCAAGAGTAGATTTGGGCATTCAGAGTGAGGTCTGGAAGCCTGAGAGACAAAGTCTTGTAATAGTTACATTTTCCTTGCTCTTACAATTTCACATCTGATAATGTGGATGTGTTTGTGTATATTTGGAATAGGATGGGCAGAGGGGACGGTGACAGGATTTCTGGGTGATCTTCACCAATACTTCAAGTTACTCTTTCCTCTTTTTAATCAAATTAATGAGTGGAGAGAATAAGGAATATTTTCTGATTACAAATTTTGTGGAATTCAATAGGAAGTAGCCTCATTAGATGGTGGTGGTCTTCATGTACGCAATGTAATAACACTCTTCATTGACCCAGAAGAACTTACAGTCCAGAAAGGAAAACTTCCTAGCTATACATTGATTCTCTAAACCCACCAAATGGTCTCGGAGATGCCACTAGTAACATGAACAGGGGCTAATAATCTGGATCATTCAATACAAATTCCAAACTCAAATCATTAAAATCCCAAGAATGTCCCAAGAATGAGCTTGAGTACATAGCATTATCTTTGAATATGAAAGACAGCATATATATTTTTCTTCAAAGGCAAAATTGTTCTATGAACACCAAAGTGAAGAGTAAGGAATCAAAGTGAAATAGAAAATGCCAGTTAATTGAAAAATTAACTTGCAAAAGACATCATTCGTAAATAACTGTATTTTATATTCATTCTTCCTGTATTTGGGGGAGGCACAATGTTGGATGCTACAAAAACAATCATTTAAATGACTGCATAGGGATAAAATGAGTAGAAATAGCTGCCATCCCATTAATAAGATTCAGATTTATATATTTTGTGAGGATATTGTTACAAAATCAGTTCTTTCAAATTTTGCTCACTTTTACTCCATATATTTAATGCTTCCACCTAGCTAATGTTGTTTGACCATTAGTTGCATCTTAAATAATCTTACCTGAGGTTGATTGCTGCCGTCCAAGGCTATAGCCCCACTAGACATCTTGAAATTTAGATTTTAAAAACTTTTCTTCAAAGATAATGAAAGAAAAAACCTCTCATATAAAAAGTCATCAAGATGCATTATTTGATTAAGTAATTAAAAAAGTTTTGTATGAAGTACAACCAAAAAAGCAAAATGACAAAAATGTGTGTGGTCTAGTTCTATTTGAGAAAAAAAAACAAAAAAAGAATGCTTGTTCTTAGGATTGCTGTTGATATGGCCTGCAGTTACTAGAGAAACTCCAGTGCATCTTTGGGTCATGCCTAGGCATGCCTGGAGACCAGGGAGACCTATGATTTAATCTAAGTAAGAATGCTTACGGTAGTTAAAATGCCCAAACAGAAGATTGCATTTGTGTTAGACAGCTCCCGGAAGGCACCTTGCAGAGGAACTGTTGACTGTTTTAATTTATGGGCTTTAGGTGATCAAGGAGACAAGGAAGGACCTCTGAGGAGATGGGGTGGGGCTGGCAATTTGGGGGTAACCAAGAGAGTATCAAAACAAAAACTTCTTACTTTAGTTTGGGAAATTTTTATTGGCTTAATTTACTACTTTTAGATAAAACATCTAGATAAAAGGCTAGAGAGGTAGAGACAGCCTCCTCCCCTTCCACACAAGCACACCATTTTGGACAGTTGCTGGTTTTTTTTTTTTGAGACAGGGTCTCTCATGTAGCTTAGGCTGGCTTTGAACTCCTTATCCTCCTGACTCCACCTCCCAAATGCTGGGATTATAGATGTTCCCCACTATGCTCAGCCATTTCTGCAGCTTTTGAAGGATATTGTTAAGGAAGCAATAAATGAAGAATGACACTAATTAGAAAGTAATAGACTTTATCAGCTTCTTTTAAAACTTATTTTTAAAATGCATAGTCTTTCCTAGGAAATAAAACCATGCTTTTAAAAAATATTTTATTTATTATTTTTATTTTACACGTATGTGTGTATTGCCTGCGTGTAGGTAAATGTACCTGTGTCCTGCAATGCCCACGGGGACAGAAGAGACTGTTGGATCCCCTAGAACAGGAGTTACAGGCAGTTGTTAGCTGCCATATGGGTGCTGGGATTCGAACCCAGATCTTCTGCAAGAACAATCAGTGTTCTTACTGCTGAGCCATCTCTCCAGCCCCTCCCCCATGCTTTGTTTTTTTTTTAATGTAGATTTTCAAATGTCAGATATTAATGCTTACTTAGGAACTAGTTTATAAGTTGAAGCAAGACTAAACTGAAGTCAATTTAGTGCCTTTGAAGAACTACAAATCAATGAATCTGTTTAATTATGAGAGGGGATTTTCACTGAGCTGAAATGAATTACCAGCAGTTTTTATAACCCCCATGTTTTG